ATTATAAAATAGGAGGGCTTCCTTGTGGCACAGAAGTGCTTATCAGTTGTAAAAGTTGGCAGTCCAAACCCATCCAGTGTTTCCTCCATCAGTCCCTATAAAAGTTACAACCTAGAAACCAGAGGGGCAGTTTTTTGGCACATATCACTATGAGTCAAAACAGACTTGAAGGCATTTAACAAGAAGTACAAAATGGGATGCATTAACTGCAGCAACACAACAGTACAGTATGTTCTGAGCTTACTGGTAAAGAACTACACAGCAGTGGTCTGGCAGTCCTTCCAGGACTGTGGCTGTTAGTGCAATTTTTTTGTACTTTTCTAGTCTTTTGCCAGAGTCATTAGCATACTACAACCCCAATACTCAGCTTTCACTGTAGAAAATTTGCTTTTAGTGACTTTCTGGCAATTCTAAAGAAGCAGGGTAAAGAAAAAAAAAAATGTTTTCTGTAACCCCTCTAATCTCACTTTAAAAATTGTGCCCAAGCCCTCTGTTGCAGTCACTACGGCAATCCATCTATTTAAAGGTCTTCCTTTCCCTTTGACCTTCCACCTTTCCATGCATTATGTTTTTTTCCAGAGACTGTCCCATCCTAAGAATATGTCCAAAGTTTGTGAGAAGTCTCATCACTCTTGTTCCTAATGAACCCTATGGCTGCATTTTTTTCCAACAGAGATTTATGATGAGAATTCTAGAAACTAAGAAATAGCTTAAAAAGTGAAAGAAGATATAAAAACTAAATGTAGACCAAGTAAGGAGAGTTTAAGGGAGCTAACACATACCTGCATTTGTTTCTTATAAAACGTATTTGCAATGAATAAGTCATTGATTGCACAAAATTAAATTCTATCTCCAGCTTCATTTCTGTCACCAAGCCCATGTTTTCCAACTACTGATTCTTCTTCTCTGTTCCCAACTTTTGCATTCCAGTCACCCATTATTACCAACGCACCTTGATTGCATGTTTGATCAATCTCCGACTGTAAAAGTTGGTAGAAATCATCTATTTCTTCTTCTTTGGCTCTGGTTATTGGTGCATATATCTGAATGATAGTGGTATTCACTGGACGTCGTTGTAATCATATGGATATAATCCTATCATTCACAATGTTGTACTTGAAGATGGATCTAGAAATTACTTTTCTAACTATGAAAGTGAGTGTCAAGGACTGCAGCCTTCAGTATGGACTGAGGCTCAATGTCAAGAAGACAAAGATTCTCACCACTGGACCAATTAGTAGCATCAGGATGGATGGCGAAGAGATTGAGATTGTTCACAGCTTCAGTTTGCTTGGCTCCACGGCCAACACACTTGGCACCAGTAGCCAGGAAATAAAAAAATGTATTGCGATGGGGAAGTCTGCTGTTAGGGACCTCTCTAAAGAGAGCAACAGTATCTCTCTGGAGACTAAGGTGCGTCTGATACAGACCATGGTTTTTGCAATCACTTGTTACGCATCAGAGAGCTGGACAATAACTAGGGAGAGAATTAATTGATGCCTTTGAGCTGTGGTGCTGGAGAAGAGTATTGAATGTACCATGGACTGCCAAGAAAACAAACAGATTCATCCTGGAGAGGGTTAAAGCAGGCTACTCCTTGGAAGCAAGGATTCTGGGGCTTTGTCTGACATACTTTGGGCATGTTGTAAGGAGGGACAGGTCCTTGGAGAGGGACATCATGCTTGGTAGGGTGGAGGGACAGCGCAGGAGGGGAAGACCTTCTATGAGGTGGATTGATTCAGTGACTGGGGTAATCAGGATGGGTGTGTCAGAGGCAATGTGATTGGCACAGGATAAAGCAGGGTTTAGGGCTGTTGTACAAAGGGTCGCTATGAGTTGCAAGTGACTCGACGGCACATAACAACAGCAACACATACCACTCAGAAATCTACCTGTTTCTGAGCAATATCTAGTAGAAAATTTGTTAAAATTATTGAACCTTTAATAATCTCTATAATAAAAATCATCTCATACATATTAGCTCTTCTTGGAATTTCTTTTAGGGAAGAAAAACAAAACAAACGTAATCATTTAAATAATTATAAAATTAAATGTTATCAACACATAATTTTAAGAGGTCATTTTAAATAAATTAAACAATCTAAAAAATGTCCAAGATTTTACTCTAGTTACTTTTCTGAAATCCAAGTTACCTCATAATATTTGTTTCTGTTTCCTTGAGAATTTGTATTTTCTAGCCTTTAGAATCAATGGATTATTAAACAATGCACACAAATTAATAAAAGTATCAGCTTCTAGTTCTATTAACTTATTAATGAGGTAGCTGAGAAGAAAAGAGCATCATAAGCATTATTTTGAAATATAAATTGATGACAAGTTTATTAAACATTACTATGTTTTGTTCAAACTGTTTTGAATTATGCTATTTGATTTTTGTTTATTTCCAAAGCCATTGTAGCAATTAGAAGACATCAGTAACAATAAAATCAGATTAAGTTTTCTGTTCTTCTATGAGTCATCTGTAATTGTAGTTTCTTTTAAAAACCCAAACACATTAGAAACAATTTTCTAATGTATAAATTGACCTTTTGAAGGTAGCAAAGTTGAATCACCAAACATTAATTTTTGTTTTGAAATGCCATTAATGACTAATCACTACATTGCGGTAAACAACATAGATGTAATCTGCATTATCTTTCAGCTATTATAAAGTTATAATCAAGATTCATTCATTTTATCTTCATAGAATTAGGATGATTTGCTTATTAAAGATATTTTGTATATTTCTATCTTGCCATTCATTGTTTTAATAAGATTTGAACTTCACAATTTGCAAATTTCATAAATTTATTACAGTCCTTCAAAATGTGGTGAAAAATTCTTCACAAGTCTCATGAAAAAAGCACAAAGACCCTGCCCTGCCAGTCACACTCCTGGAGTAAAACAATCCATAAAAGGACAGTACAGAGACATCAGCTGTACTTAATGTAGAGTGATCCCTGCACTCATATGAGAACATCTAGCTAGATGGAAAAGCATGAAATCAGAATAATAATAATAAGCACCTATTTCCCTTCCCCTTTTAAAAAATTTTATATTGGTTTGCATGTAAAATTCATATACACTGTGTTTCACACATTTCTTCAAACACATGGTTTCATACAATCATCCCCATACCTTGTGTTTTATAGATTTAATCACCACTGATCTATACCCACGATTACCCCATTTTTACAGGTTCCCACTGGATTTTTCCAATTCTTTTATCCCTTCCCTCCACCCACCAAACTCTGTGACCCCTGATTTCTCCTGCTCTCCACCCTCAGCCTCCTCCCTTTTCCCCTTTGAACTTTTCTATACATCTTACTAGTTATACTTATATTTTTAAAATACGGTGTTATTCAGTATTTTTCTTTATGAGACTGAACTAGTTCGTTCCATAATGCTCTCTAGACTCTCCCATGTTAAACAATTATTTTCAAAACCATTGCTCCTGAGTGCTGCACAGTATTCCATGGTGAAAATGTACCATAATTTCTCAATCCATTTTTTTTTTTATGGACAATTGGGCTATTAACATTTTCCTGCTATTGTGAATAATGTTGCAGATCCTCATTTGAGAAACAAATAACTTCTATATTTTTTATAAAAAGTATCATCAGTATAACCAGGACTGTATGAGAACCAGCTCATCTCAGCTTAAACAGCAATTATACATCTACGGTCTCATGTTCAATGTTATATTAGTAGCTTGAAATCAACAATGGTGGGAATACTTAAAACACTTTAGTTAGAAAGCTCTGCAAATTTGATTTTACTTCCACTCCTCCTAAGAGTCAGTTTACCATCATTTTACCAATTGAATGGAAACATATAACAAGAAGAAGTGATAATTTTACTTACAGTCAAAATCTACCATTCTTAATTATGAAGAGACTTTTGAGGGTTGGGATTTTTAGTGGAGTGTTTTTGTTTTTGCTTTAGAGACCATAAAATGCATCATGACAAAAATATGTTGAGGTTCATCAGAAAAAAAAAAAAGGCTTAAAGGCTTATCAATATAGTTCATTAAAAATTTATTTTTTTTGAGTTTATAAATGGGTCATTTCCAAAATAGTAGTGATACAGAGTATCTGGTAATATTTTAATATATCTTTCTACTCCATAAACCAAACGTGCACTTTATACAAACAAATATAGTGGCTTAAAGCACCAACACTCTTAACGCCAATATGTCTAGGAAGTTTCATTATATATTTTAAGCATATAATAAAGCAGAAACAATTAAATTCCTTGAACACTTTATTTCCACTCAGAGCTCAGCAACTACTTAGCTTCACATTATTTTGTTGAAAAGGATAACCAAATGGCCCATCTAAGTAGCTAAAGTCATAAAATTATAAATCGTTACCTCTTGTTGTTATTATGTGATACTGAATCAAGTCATTAGAATATAAAGTTAATATAAAACATTAACTATAATGGTAGACATTTCTAATGGGCCTTACTCACAATATACCATAATAATAAACTGCATTAAAGAATGAGATCCTTAACCAATAAGGAAAGAGAAGCTGTATCATGAATTATCATGAGGACTAAAGGTAAGATTAGATAACTGCTCACAACTTGAAAAAAATAAAGAAAAGAATACAACAGTGCAGCTGATGATGCTTCAAGAAGACATACTGACCACCAATTTATGCACCACTGTCAGAGCTCAGCATAAGGTCCATCATACAATCTGTTACTGTCCTACGAAATTTCTTTATGGTCACAAACAATAGGAGAAAATACCTTATTAGGAAAAGTGCCATCTTAATACCCCTGAAAATAGGGGCAAAATCGACTCACTAAGAAATGTAATATTCAAAAAGGACTATATTGTGGTTTATGAAACAAATGAATTCAGAAATTAACAATGGAAAAATCATACTAACTGTAAATAAGAAATGTCTTGTTTCTGATTGCTGTTAAAACATTAAGTATTCCATTAAGTCATTAAGTTGGAACAAATTCCAAACTTACACTTACTTATATCACCTGAATTTAATAATCCAATAAATGACAAAAAAGACAAAGAGTGAAAAGAGCATCATATAGCACAGCAGCTTGGTTTGGCTCCCTCTGGATAAAATCTTCAGTCTCCCCATTGTTTTACCTAGAAATCCAGTTGTAGAATCAAATTGTGAGTCCTATTAGGGGGAAGCAGAACACCACAGTTAGATTGTAATACCCTATACAGACATGTTAAAATAATGTCAGTTTGTTCACGTAACTAAATACATCCTCTTATTAAGTTAAATTACTTTTAAGGGCAATTTTTGTGTTTACTTCTTTCAGGAGTTTGTTTTTAATGTAGGGTAATCAGATTGATTATTTCAGACAGAACATAGCAATTCTCTCAACAAATAAAAAGCTCTTTCATGATCAAGTAATATTTTTCCCCAGTTGCATAGAGTAATTATGAAAAACCCAACCACGTAGATCTTATTCCAGTTATAAGAACTAAAAACCCCACAAGTTATAAAGGTAAGTAGTTCTTCGAGTATCATAGAGGCTTTTCTCACACTTTTTATTCTGGCATGGTTCTAAAAGGTCAAATGGCTGGTTGTTTTCTAGTTGAGTAGCTGTGATGTGCTGTCAAGTCAGAACGTCAGTGGATTTTCAGAAGCAGTATCCTGTGGGACAGAAGAATGCCTATCCTCTTCCCACAGAGCAGCTGGTGGATTGGAACCACATGCCTTTGGGTAGCCAGTGCAATTCCTTACCACTAAGCCATCAGAGCTTGGTCACTGTGTGCTGTCATGTCTCAAACAACTTATAGCTGGCCATTCCAGTAGATTTTCAGAAACAGTAAAGCACACAGGAGGAGACCTCCCATCCACTTCCCTCAGAACATCTATCTGGTGAATTCAAACCATATGGTTAACAGTTCAATGTAATTTTACTTTAAAGATCTTTTTTTAAAACAGCTGACTTTCAAGTACTGTAGTACCTAGTAAAAGCTTGAGGACTTCATGTACAGGTGGTACAAAATTATGGTAAAAATCATAAACAGGAATGGTAAAAAATTCCGAGATTAATATAGAGTTAGAAAAATCTTTAAAGTGAAAAGTCAGGTATAAATTAACAATCTCCTAAGTAATAGTACAAAATGCATAGTAAGTAACTCAGGTTTGATGTAGCTCATGTGTTTAGAGCTACAGTCTTATATCAGAATTCCTAGATGCTTCCTCACCCCAGGCCCCAATCCCGGCCCCCGCAAAAAATAGACACGCGCGCGCGCGTGTGTGTGTGTGTGTGTGTGTGTGTTTCCTATTTCCTGAAATTCAGAATCATAAGTCGAGTGATCCAAACAAAATAGTAACTCTCCCCAGGTGATTTCAATTTTGTTTGCTGGAGAAGTGACGTGAGAAAGCATTACATTATTTAATTAGTACACTTTAAAAAGGGATATGGAAAAACTAGATATGGTCCAAAGAAGTTTGACATAAAATCAACATTAAAGAAAGGACATGAGGGGACCTCTGGGCCTAGTGGCAGGAAGCTGTGCCTGCAATCCCAAAGGGGTGCAGTTCGAATCCACCAGATGCTTTGCTGGAGGAGGAGTAATATCCTCCTGTGCCAGTGGGATCTGATTCGATGGCACATGAGTTAAAAAAAAAAGAAAGAAAGTACATAGATTCTAAAGAGGAAAGGTGAAGGATCAGGTGTTATTATGTTCAAACCTAGCAAAGATTTGGTCACAAGTGATTTTTAGGAGATTAAGCTGGGTGTGGGGGGAAAGGTGACACAATTAGCTGGCATAAAGAAGGTGCTTTGGATTAGCTGGTTAATAAATTACTACTAAGGGAGCTCTGATGGCCTAGTGGTGAGAAGCTGTGCTGCAATTCCAAAGGCACACGATTTGAATCCACCAGCTGCTCTGTAGGAGAAGGATGGGCAATCTCCTCCTATGTGATTTACTGTCTCTGAAAACCTGTGGGAGGGTCGTCAGCTAACAGTCAGCTCTGACTTGACAGCACACAAAAACAAATGAGTTGAAAACACACAAAACAGTTATTTCTCCTGAATTTTTATCAGTACTTCTAAATTTAACCCAAAAGACATACTGGCTTCCTTCTCATCTTTCTATTTATATTTTGGTTAAAGTGCAAAAAGTAAACTGTTGTGATTCCAAACCAGTTAGAGAGATATAGCTGGAAATTCAGGAAAAATTACCTATTTTCAGAATAATTTTTAAATTCTTATTAGGGTGACTATAAATATTTGAGACCAATACATAGAATTCAAAATTCTCAATTCAGTGATTTATTTTCAAAAACTTTCTAGAACACTTGTATTATAATACAGTTTCATGTGACATCAACAAAGCATTTAACTAGTAGTTATGTACTTCAACTCTACTTTGTAATGAGTAAAAGTTAAAATTGTGTTATTCTTGATTAAAGGACTAAATTGGAGACCTCCACCTCAAATTTCTTAGGATTTAAAAGCAAAATACACTTACCATTTCAGCTAATAATTTATTTTGATGTTTTACTTCATGGCCTATTTCGATGGAAAGCTTTGAAAAGAAAAGCACATACCTTATTACTCATAGGAAGACATTCATATGTTATAAAATAAGAACAATAATGCCATTACAATTATCTACATCTTGTCAAATGAAATGAAATTCCAGAAATATAAAATATATTACTTTCTCTGTTCTATTTTCTACTGACCTTAAAACAAATAAACTTAGACTATCTCTTCTCAACACACACTGTTCTCTGGGTCTCATATTTTTGCATATTCTTTTCTCTGATTATTTTATTGATGTAAAAGAATTTCTTTGTATTTTTCCTTGGTTACATTTTAAACTGTATACACGTATGTTTACAATACAATTCAAATCAAGAGGAGGGTTCATTTTTTTAATGAAATGTGACATCATTTTGAATATAGGCTTAAACTGATTGTGTCTTTAGATTTTAAAGGTAGTAACTTTTTCTTTAAAATATGATTTTTTTTAAACTTTACAAGCGAGCATTACCCATATTTTGAAGCTCTGGAGAAAGGTAGTCTCCAGGAAAACAAAACAGCTATAAAAATGGGGTCAAACACAGCAATGACTGTGAGGAAGGCAAAGGACCTGGGAGGGTTGGTTCTGCTGTACGTGGGGTCACAATGAGTCAGAATTGACCTGATGGTGGCACCCAGTGCCACCACAAAACTAAACAGATCCAATACATCATAGGACAATTTTTATCAAAGCCTTTACTTCTAAACTATGCTAATAAATACAGACAACTTCTGAAAATCTTAGCAAATCATTGCAAATGCTGTTCTCAAAGGATATTTTTGACCTTTGTGTGGAAAGCATAGGAGAGAAATTTAACATAAAACAGAAGTACAATTTCAGAGACCAGAATATGCACCTTTTACCTAAACTTAACAATTCAGAGATAATAAAGTTAAATAGCCAAGTAGAGAGTAAAGTCAAATAGCACATATTGTCCCAGGTCTTTCTGCCTTGTTATTCATAAAAAGTAAAGAAAGTTCTGAAGAAGTCATTACTTTCTTTGGCAATAAGTCTAAATTACCAATGTTTGAGTTTAAAAAAAGATAATAAATGCTATTTTTCAAAGTCTTAACATTATTCACTATTGCCTAGCTCATGGATCACTTCATTATGATGTAATCCAACTGCTTCAGAATGTACTAGTCTCTTCGATGAATATCAGTCAATTTCCTAACGACTACAGTGAAACATCAATTAAGCTTTTGTAGTAGGCCCTATTAAGCCTACAGTATGTTTTAACATAATGTAGAAGCAATCATAAAAACCGTTAAAATAATCTTTTTGAAATTCCTTTATTTAGTACATATTTACTAAATCTACTGATAAAAAATTTATGCAGAATAATGAGTACCACTGAAAACTACGCAGTCCAGTATATTACTTTTGCATATAAACAACCTCAATGCAAATCACTACATTGCTATTGCAGTGATAAAAAGAGTCAAATGTTCATGAAGAAAAAGTTTCTTTCAAACATGATGATTAGGTGAAGTTCAAAGGAAGGAGGTACAATGAAGCAGAGTTTTATAGGATGGACAAGATTTCAGACAATATACACAAGAAAAGAATACTTGAGGATATACTGCGGTCAAAGACATGAATTATAAAGTAAAGTAACAATGGCACAAAGGACACAAATGTACACCAATTTTTTTGGCAGAAAGAATAAAACATCTCAAAGTACAGCGATCTAAAGATCAAGGGTCAATCTTTGAAGAACTTGTCAGGTCAAGCTTAGAGCGTAAACTTTATTAGATTATAGGACAACACTGAAGACTTCTAGAAGTGAAGTGATATAATTTAAATGACATTCAAAAAAGATTAGTGTGAAAAATGCAGCTCATTCACAAACATGCAGAGCAGGAACATCTATCAGAAGGTAAAAAATATCAGAAGGGAAAAAAAATAGGCAGAACACACAGGTAAACATAGTAAAGAATGAATCATAAAATGGTGAGTTCTAAAGGGAGAGACAAGAAGCCTCAGGCTTGTAGTTTAAGAGATTGAAAGAAGAAAATGTCAGAAGCACAGCTCAGGGGTGGAAGATGGACAGCTCTGTTTTAAACATTAATGTAATCAACATCTTTTATTTGGATTTAACCATAAAATACAATTGAAGAATATTATGAAACACAATGTATACAAATTGTGTAAGCAAATTAATAAAAACAACAAAAAATTAAAGAAATATACCATATCTTTTGCCCACATTTTCTTATCTTCAGCTCAAACCGTGTTTTAAAATCTGGGTGTACTCTAATCATACTGAACCATATTACTTGGGTAACTGAATTACTTAGTATGATGTCTACATAATTATATATCTTATGACAGTAAAAAAGATACATGTAAATAACAATATGTCTCTATTGTGTACTTACAGACTTTATAGTAGTTACTTTGTTTCTTAGACTTTCCGTGAGTCTTTCATTTTCTTCTTCACAGGCATTATACCCAGTATTAGCATAGCCATAGTTCCCATAATTCCCAGGAGGTGCTCCTTCACCTGTAAGGACCAGATCAAGTAGCTTTGTAGTTTTGGCAAAAATAGAAGCCACTCTGAAACCTTGACAATTAGGAAAGAACCAAAAAAGACCCCTGGAGGGCGTTGCAGACCACACAAGCTTACAATAGTCATGCTTCACATTAAAAAGTAGAGAAAAGAACATTCTTTTCCATTACCTTCTCTTAATCAAAGGGAGCTCTGATGGCATAGTCCTCAGGGAACTAAGATGCTAGCCCAAAGGTGACATTTCTCTGGTGGTTTCAATCCACCAAGATTCCAGAGGAGAAAGATGGGCAATCTCTTCCCATCTGACTTACAGTTTCAGCAACATGATGGAGGGTCAGTTATAAGTTAGTTCTAACTCAAGTGCAATGAATGAGTTTTCTCTTAATCAAAGAATACTCAGTTCACTTCAATATACATTTACTGACTGCCTATGAGCCACACACAAGATACCAAAAAAAAGTCACTGATATATAAGCAAGCATTCTCTGCTGAGCAGAAGCTTATATTCTAATACAAAATCTGAAAGTGGTAACAACAACTGCTCATTTAAGAAGCATGACTATGGAAAAAGGAGAAAGAGAATAATGTAGTGAGAGAGAATTCAGAGCAAAAGAAGAGTCCTTTACCTTTATCTCTTGTCTCTTAAATATAAGGAAAGCTAAGTGGAAAAGAGCCAAAGGGGAGAGGGAGTCAGAAACTTGAAGATCTAGAAGACAGATGGAATATTCTGTGGAGAGTTGTTAGCTGCTAAAAGGGGTTGAATCATCATTCATTCCTCAACAAATACCCAAGTGCCTACTATGTATCAGATCCATTGTTCAATATGTTACTTATTCAGAGCTTATCCTAAGGAATGGCATTCAGAACGCAGTAGCCATTGCTCTATAAATGAAGTATTTCATGTTGACCAGACAACAGAACAGCAGTTGTGATCATTTGAAAGCAAATACATTTAAAAAAAAATTGTTCGGGGAGCTGAGGAAATCAAGAACAGTTGATTAAAGTATTGTTTGTTTTTCTACAATTAATATCCATCTTCGTAAAGGTAGGCAAAAGACAATACACTAAAGTGGTGATCAATGAACAAGTAGAATGATGGAGAAAGGTGGACTGTGGGATATGCAGGACTGCCAGGAAGGTGCAAAATCATAGTTGATGCAATCAAGCCTCCGGGCTATGTAACTTTCTACATCAGGTTTATCAGCCTGGGCTAGCAGAAGAGATGTTGGATATCTAGACTGATCTAAAGTTAGAAGCTTATGAGGAGGAGCGGGGTGGCGTGCAGAACAGATCCTCAATCTTTCTTGAGACTACAAAAAGAATAGTGAAGATGGAGATTGTGAGGTACAAAATCAGAAGATGGTTGATGCTGATTTTGTAAGAAAGCTGAATGAGCATGTATGTAGGATAAAGAAAGAGACAGAAACAATGTATCTCAGGAACTCACACAGCAGAAGGGTGACAGCAAGAACTCCAAGGAAGCCAAGTCTTTGGTAGTTGGTAGGTAAAGTGTGGCTGAGGTGTGAATAGAAAGCTCTTTCAAGGTACTACATACATTTACTTAAATCCTATGATCTCTGGAGGACAGAAACTATGTTTCATGTTCCCTGTGCCTGATGCAGCAGGCACCTACATACTCTCCATCACCACAAACCACAGCAAAATACTAAACAAGAATGCCCTAACAGATAAACTTCTACTGCCAATACTCTAGCCTGAAAACTTCCAGAGATGATATTAAACAAGTTTAAAACTCCAAGTGACTGGGCATAAGCTTTTTTTTTGCCATTCAATAGCTAATTTTTTAAAATGCATTTCACTCTATCAATCAATAAATAATATTTTGTATATATTCTACATTCATAAGAATCAGGATTCTTAATGGAATGTATGTACACTGTCTTCTATTTGTTTTCTGTGACTAAGTTTCTCAGTATATAGCATTTGGCTAACAAGTAACTGCTGGTTGGTTGTGTTTAAGTACCTGGTAATTTCACCAAGGAATTAACTAACAAAGGAATAGCAATTTGTTTTATTTCCTTTGTTTGGTTCTTTTGGCCTAACTTAATTTTAATTTTAGTGTTCTTCCATACTGTTCCATTTATGCAAAGAAGACATTCTTTATTCAGTCCCCAAAAATCTTTGAATCCACACTATCAAAGAGTTAATCTTCCCTCACAGCCTCATGCACTCCTATAGTAAAGAAAACAATAAAATAAAAATACTAGTAGCTGCTATTCTAAACAGCTACTTTTTGCATAACTTAACTGCCTTGAAAAAATACAGCAACAAAATAGAATGTGACAAAGACAATCCTCTGCCTTTGTCACTTTTGATAAATACTAACTAACACTTGCAGGAAGTTTCTATCAATAATTGAGGCAAGTCATTCACATACTCATGTGAGCTGTGGTGATTTCTGCACAAGAAGAGCTATATATTCATTATTTAAAATTCTAGGTTGACAATAATATTCTAAACAATCTAAAACAATACCCAAACTCTAATACAATAATACTCTTAAAAAACAGGTTCTATTATGTGTATGGATGGAGATGGTGATACCGATGATATATGTTGTTATTTGCCCTTAGGTCAGAATTGATTCAAAGCTGACCCTCCAATGGATTTTTAGAGGCTGTAAATGGGACAGGAGGAGCCTGCTTATCTTTCTCCTGCAGGGCAACTAGTGGATTTAAACCGCTGTCTTTGCACTGGCAGTGAAAATTCCTTATCACTAGGCCACCAGAGTGCTCTCTCTTTATATATTGGGGAGAAAACCGGTCCTACAATGCCAAAGTCACACAGTTCAAATCCACCAGCTGTTCCATGGCAGAAGGATGGGCAATCTCCTCCCATGCGATGTACTGCCTTTGAAAACTCACTGGAGGGTCTGCTATGTGCAAGCGTTCTGACTCCATGGTACACCATCACCACAACAAATACACACACACACACACACACACACACACACACACACACACGTGTGTGTGCGTGTAGATATACATACATATGTATACACACACACACACACACACAAATCTTCAGTACTTCACACCAAAGTAAACTGCATTCACAGTCACCTAACAGGGAGCGCCGGTGGCCTAGTTTCTGGGGAGTTGTGCTGGTACCTCTCTGGTGGTTTGAATTCATGAAGGGCTCCAGCCTGAGGAAGAGTGACAGCCAGCCTTGGAAATCTGCAGGAGGGTCAGCTATAAATTGGTTCCAACTGGATGGCCATAAAAGTTTTGAATGTCACCTAAGTGATAACCAAGGACCTTTTAGCTCTATTTCAATGGCTTGCAACCACGACTAATGGTCAGAATCACCAGAGCAGGAGTTTTAAAACAAAATATTCTATTGGTAGAGATTCTAATTTATTTGCTTTGGGCTGGGATCCAGGTACTAACACCTTTGAAATCTCCCTAGGTGATTCTACCTTCACAAGATGGATGTAACAGTAACTGCTGGCATGAGCACTGCAGACACACGGCAAGGTTCAAATCTGTGAGTTGTAATGGGCATCACAGCACCTAACAACAACAATGGGATTCTAATGCAGGGTCAGGGATGAGCACTACTTCCATAACCCCTTTCTAACATGGCACACCATTGTACAAACACATTCAAAGGGTATCTGAGAATCTACTGATGAATTCCAAACTCCTTGGTCTGATACAAATCTCCACAATGTGGTTCTACATCTCTTTCTTCAACCAAACTGACTTAAGTTATAATCCCAAAAACACACCATCTACTTTCCAATAGACTCAAGGATACAAGTGATGGCAAAGGCTGAAGAACAGGATCTGGCAACTTCTGTTCTATGGAGCATCTAGCGACGCAGTGTGTTGTACTATATTACTAACCAAAAGGCAAGGAGTTTGGCGCCCTGAGATGGGTAGTCTCTACAGACTTGTTGTCATCTACTATTGAGATGTAACTGGCCCATAGCTCAACTGCTAGCCAGTTTTCAGAAGCAGTATATTCACACAGGAAGAGACTGTTCATCCTTCTACAGGATTTGAACCACATGCCTTCAGACTGGCAGCACAGCTCCTTATCATTAAGCCACCAGACACTGACACCCTCAGAACCCTGGATGGAAAGACCTGGAATAGACTCTAGCACAGTGTGTTTCAGTTTGGTTTTAGTGCAGAGGATAAATATGAATCTGCACTCATTCAAATGCAATTAACAATAACCCTACACTCTATTCTTTTATGATGCTTTTAATTGGATCTTGCCTTTCCTACTCTACATTATTCAAGGTTTAGTTCAAATTCCTAAATCTCCACATAGTATACAGTAAATCTGTGAAATCTGAGGCATTAATTAGCTGCAGAATTTATCTCTGTATAAGAACTCTGTCTCTGTAAAACTAATACTGTATTTGATCATATAGCTACCACTGTATAATTTATCTTTCTGTATATACATATACAATTTATACATATACAAATATATGCAAATAGATGTGTGTTTGTATATATACTGTTATCCCTCAGGTAAACAGGAAGCAAATAAAGAGCTACAAAGACGGTATACCTAGGATACGCAGGGCCTACTTAAGTACACAATAAATGTTTGGTAACTCTGAGAAACGACAATAGTTCCAGAAAGGCTTCAGGTCTTTCGTTCACTGGGTGCCTATGCGTCATGCTCGACTCATTCCCAACAACAACACTGTTGATAATTAAACATTTGGGTGCACAAAACTGGTCTTGCTCGTAAGAAGTTCCTTCTCCTGTTTCATGTTACATTTTATCAATGTGCAAGTTTATAATTACTGGTAATTTTTATTTAAAGTACCAGACACACTTAGGAAAAAAGTTTTCCTATCTTATTATATAAAGTTCAAGAAATGCAACATTACACCTTTTCACAATATAGCATGCACTTTATAACGCACATTCATGTCGCATATTTTTTCTTTTGCTATTTTTTATTGGCCTTTAGAAAGAGCTTTGAAGTAGAAAATACTGTTCAAATAGTATGCATTATAAATCCGCCCTCCCCCGTCAAAGAAAATCCACGTCCCTAACTTATTTCTGTTAGCTGGTGTACCTGTTGCTAGTTTAAAGAAAAGAAATTCCCAAGCCTTACTGTAACTCATTGCTTTAAGAGTGTAGCAAGGTTCAGGTAAAATATGTCCACGGTAAAATCACCTTTGACCATGACATTACTTATCAGGGCCTGTAACAGTAATGACACGTACATCTTACCTTTGTAACTCACTGTTACTAGCAAGCTCTTAGTTGTGTACCTTGCATGCAAACCTCACTTTTAAAACTTCGCTTTGGAAGAAGTAAGATTAAGTAGAGAAGAAGTAGAAGCCAAAGCCAGATTGTGTGAAACTCAGGAGTCCCATAATCACGTTAAGACAACGACATTAAAACAATCAACTCACTCGACTAAGTATCTCTCAATCCCATTCAGTACTCTTAATTTATCATCCAAACTTGAGTCTTCCTAAACTTAAGGAAAACCCTTAGGATTTGGGGTAACTGGTATGTGTCCACTTGGTTCTATGTCCAAAGTTACTCTCCATACATTCCCATTTACGGGTCATCATCCAGCTGGTCTGATTTCCTCCCACGCTCCAGGCGCCCCAAAAGACTAGTTCTAGGGGCCCCGTAACTTCGAGCCTCATCCCTCTCCTTACCCAGGCCTGCACGCCTCATCCTGCCAGCGAATGGAGAGGAACGGCAGGAAGAGGGCAGGAAAGAAGGGCCAGGGAGTCACCGGGACCAGGTCTTCAGAGTCCCTCAGAACATTAACTTCTCCCAAAGCGCCACGACATCAATGAACTCCCAACACAGCGCTGGCTGATGGCGTCACGCGGACGCTCATCAGTGCCCTGCGAGTTTCCCGGAGTAGCATTCTGGGAAATGTAGTTCTTTGCCTTCATAGGTGGAGTATCGCATGCGCGAGGTGAGTGTTTCCAGGAGTCTTTGAGGTGTGACGTTTCATGCTTGCGGGGGTTGCGATTCTGAGCGTCTGGATCTTACTTTTGTCGTCACAGACTTCGAGGAAAATTTGTTGACCTCTTTCCTGTTTCAGGCTCCTTTTCCATCTCACTTCCCAGAGAAAACTTTGTTCTAGTCTTTCATTTTACCAGGAGTTTAAGACTCACAGAAGGGAGAGAAGAGGGTAATTTATTTGTGCGGGTTCACACCCATTTAGAAAGAGTAAATGCTACCCAGATCAAACTAATCCTCCACTTTAAAACTATTTGTGGAAAAACCTAGCAAAACCATGTTTAATAAAGTATTAACAACAGAAATTTAAAAAATTCAATAGAATTTTTATTTTAAAAGACAAAAGAAATCAGTATCCTCTAAAACAAGGACACTAGGAAAGCAGAGTTAGTGGGTGGTTGAGGGTGTAGAGTAGGGAAAGAATATGAAAAATTCAATGAGAACCCGAGAAGATGGGGTAATAATAAGCATTGATCAATGGTAATTAGTTATATAGAATGCAATGTAAATGAATAATTGTATAAAACAATGTAAATGAAAGATTGCATAAAGCACAATGTACATGAATAAAATACAGTGTATAAAAATCATTGTATTAAAACCAATTAAAAAAAAGATTACTACAGTCAAGCAAAGCTGACTCAGATTAAGATTGTTAGTTTTTTGCTACCATTGAAAACAACAAGGTGCCAATTTATGGAGGCTCGATGCATGACGGAGAAGAGTTGTGCTCCATTTTTCTTAATATTGTGCACCACATCTCTTTGCTATGGTGAATATTGCAGTAAAAAACATGGCCATGGAAGCAACCCAAGTGCCCACTAACAAATGAGGGAATAGAAAAGCTATCTATGATATATCTGCAAAATGGAATACTATGTAGCACTGAAAAACAAGAAACTAATAAAATTTTACACGATATGGGCGAACCTGAAGGACATTATGCTGAATGAAATATCTCAGTCACAAAAGGACAAATACTGCAGAACATCACTGTTATAAAACAAAACTGAAATGGGGGCTGGAGAAGAAACTGAGAAAAGAGGGGATAAATAATGAATACTGCATTAGAACAGATGAAAGAAAGAACTGTTTAAAATGAGTATATGATTAAGCGTTATCTGTATGACAAAGTCCAGAATAAAAGGTGCATAGCAAAGTGGACTGGAGGAGAAGGAGGAAATTATGCAACAATGAATCATTTTTTTAAAGTGAACTGAGAGGGATAGGGAGGAAAATGTGCACCAATGAATGAGTGAAAATCCAACTTTTCTATCAACTTTCTTTAAAATCACAATAAAAAAGGGGATGAAATATTGTTGACTCTTTGACTGCATATGACAATAGGTTCTTCTTGACCATAACCATTGAAGATCAACCTTGGATGGTTTCAAACCACTAACCTATAGGATAAAAGCCAACTGCTTACCTACTATGCTAATTAGTTGTTGTTATGTGCCATTGAGTTGGATCCAACCCATAACTGACCTTGCAGCAGGTAGGAAGGCCCTCAGACAGATGGATAGACACAGTGAATGCAACAAATGAGTCCAGTGTGTTGGAGATTGTGAAGATGGTACAGGATAGGACAGGGTTAAAATCTGTTGTTCATAGGATCACTATGAATCATACTTGGTTCACCAGCACCTAACCAAAAAATAAACAAGCAAACAAACAAGCAGTGTTTCAGAGACAGTGAGTCACATAAGCGGTGTTTGCCCAGCTTACTCCTGCAGAGCAGCTGGTGAATTCCGAAGGTCTGCCTTTGGGTTGGTAGGCTACTAGAGTTCCTTGCCAGTAGTTATAATTAATTTTAATTTAATTTAATTCATTACTTTTTCAGGCTAAGAGTATCCCATATAAATTGGCTGTGTTGAATTAACAGTCACTGACAATTTGGGCTCAGAAACTCTTTTGTAAATCAGAGTATCTACCCTATAAAGCATTTGAAATTTAATTATCTTATGAGCACCAAACTTAACAATGATTAAAGTTGCATGTTACATTTTATGTAAAACTTTTTGTTTGATTGGATTTTGCATTTGGGAGCAGAATAATAGCTGGAACTTAAAAGTTCTCAATGACTACTCTCTGTGCCCTAAGGGCTAAGTACTATATCTAATGACAAAAGAGTTTTACCAGTCCCTAGTGAGACTAGGTTTTATGAGGATAAATACGGCATCAGGATTGGAGAAAGACTTATCAATAACCTATGCTATGCAGATGGCACAACCTTGCTTGCTGAAACTGAAGAAGACCTGAAGCACTTGTTGCAGAAGGTAAAAAACTGTAGTCTTCAATATGGGTTGAACCTGAACATAAAGAAGACAAAGATTTTCACCACTGGGCCAACTGTTAGCACCATGATAGATGGAGAAGAGAGTGCAGTTGCTAACACTTACACCTTGCTCAGCAGTCAGGAAATCAAAAGATGACTGCATTGGGGGGAAATCTGCTGTAAGGGACCTCTCCAGAGTGCTGAAAAACAATATCAATCTAGAGACTAAAGCACTCCTAATCCAGGCCATGGTCTTTGCAATTACTTGCTATGCATCAGAGAGCTGTGAAATTACAAAAGATGAAGAAGAAGAATTGATGCCTTCAAATTGTGGTGCTGGAAAAGTTTTGAACATACCATGGACTGCCAAGAAAACAAATAGGCCTGTCCTAGAAATGGTGAAACCAAGTTTCTCCTTGAAGGTTCAGGTTGTTTGTTGTTGTTGTTTGTTGTTTTGTTGTTGTTGTTGGTGTGTGTGTGTGTGATTTGTGTGGTTTTTTATGACTCAAAAATTCACATTTAATTAAGTTCATAATAAAAAATATATTATTATGATAATTACCACAAGGATGCGTATAATAGCAAGTGTTTCAGATTTTCCTCTCCTTCATCAAGCAAAGGGATCTGCTTACTAAATATCACCAATTCTGTGTGTATATGTATTTTGAAGAATGTAGTGGCAATATATCATTCTACCGTAAGTGACTGAAATTGCTTACAAAGACATTTGATATTATAGGCTTGGGTTTTGAAGCTCTGTCTCACATACTTTGGGCACGGAGCCAGGAGAAACTGGTCCTTGGAGAAGGACACCATGCTTGGAAGGGTGGAGGGACAGCACGAGAGAGGAAGAACCTAGGAGCAATGGGGGTTGATGTGTAGGAATTAGTGAGACAGGTTCAAGACAGGGCAGGGCTTAGAGCTGCTGTACACAGAATCATTATGGGTTGCAGGTGACTCAGCAGCACATAACAACAACAACAACAATAAATGAGGATTCCAGAACTGTGAGAAGCCAATGGGTTGCAGGTGACTCAACAGCACATAACAACAACAACAACAATAAATGAGGATTCCAGAACTGTGAGAAGCCAAATTTCATACTAAATATTTATAATAAACCAAGTGCTGTAACAAGATATGAGGGAGGCACAGATACAAGCTGGAATTCACCCTGAAGCACCGAGACAGACCTTACGTGTTCACAAGGACTAAGTGCTAAGGCAGACCTTAAGCATTTACACTGTTCTTGTATTGTATTTGCTAACCCCTCCTTCCTGAGTCAAACATAAAGTTTTCAATAGAAAGAACTTAGCTTCATTTGCATAGAATTCTCTTTGTGATTTGCTCCCTGGCAATTTTCAATAAACGAACAGGGGAACTGCATTCAGCTGCTTCAGTTGTTCGAACTGCTCACCCCCTGCTTTACCTCTTTCTTTTCTCCTACATTCTTGGTGTCCTGTCTTTTTTTCTTGGCTGATGACACAGAACATTATATAAAATGACCTTGTGGGACAACATGGTGTAGTTTATAAAGTTTAGTGTTCAAAATGGCTTTCCTAGCCACCGATTTTGACTTTGCCATGTGATTGGGCGGGAATCTGTGAATAGGGCATATGAGCCTGTTCACAAGGGGGTTGGCTAGTCACACCAATCCAAAAGAGAATTGGCCAGTCTCACCAATCGACAAGGGGATTGATCAGTCTTGTCTTTAAATTGAATGGCTCCAGCAGCAGAAGGAAGCTTTTCCTTCCCCATCAGGAAAAAGACATGCAAAACAATACAGTGTGTTCTTCTGAACTAGAGATTCTTGCTCCAGACAGACTGGGAGTGCCCTTAGGAGCAGCAGCCATAGCAGCCACAGTAGAGAATCAGAGACCAGACATTATTAGATGGAGAACCAGAGACCTGTTATGAGATGGGATAGTCTGAAGGGACCGCTACACCATTGGAACCAGAGCTAAGAACCTTTGCTCGGATTTGTTGGACAATTGCTAATGGTGGGCCATCATTCACAGGTCTGAGAACTTTGTAACAATGGCCTGAAGCCACAAGGCTCAAGTGTGAGGTGCCTGCAAGCACATTTCAAAAGCTGTCCTGACTATATTCTGCTACTGACCTGGATTATAGACTTCCAACTTCCCAATATGGCTCTGTGTGATCTGTGAGCTAGACCCAGTTAAAGAGTAGGATGGGTGTTGAGACGTGTAGGAAGAGTTATGAGAGTATGGAGGCTACATCTGACCTTATGGGAACTGGTTTTATGTTGCTGATGTTGTTGCTGGTGACAGCTCCCCTTTGTGAAGTTGGTAAAGGTCTGATATGACCATTCCTATGAGGTCCTTACTCTTTTAACACATGGTGAGTAAACAGGATTAAAGCTTAAAATATTTATAAACAAATTTGTAATAAAATCCTCTATCCT